TGTTTTTTAATCTGTATCATTTCATGGACTCTTCTCTTATCATAATTACTCTCGTTAATCAGTATTTTTGTGTTATCAAAATCAAAATTATGCAAGTTTTGTTGTGCATGCTGTGCTAATGCTGTACCATTTTTTATTTATGTTTTTCCATTTAGATGAATTGTATATTTTATTTATCCTTCGCTTTATGATTGGTTCGAAAAATGACCTTGAATAGTTGTTTATTAATAATAAAAGATTTTTTGTTCTCTACTCAAAATGTGACAATTTAATGGCTCTATCTGTAAGTGCCGTTATTACCCTTTTTTTATATTTCATTGGAGCGTACGATTGATAATTCAGATACCTACCAGACCATATCTCCTTTATGTACCAATTTGTTTTGATTTCCCCGTTGTTATCATAATTAATTGTCAGGCCTAGAAAGTTTATAGAATTGAATTTATTTTCTTCCAGAGTAAATTTTAGGGTGTCATCAAAGGCATTAAACTTATCTAGTGTATATTGAATTTTGTCTTTTGGCAGGCACATTATGCAGTCATCCACATATCGTTTAAAAAATTCACACCTATAGTTTAATTTAGATATTATTTGTTCTTCCAAATTTTCCATTACCAAATTTGCAATTGTTGCTGCTATGGAAGAACCCATTGCTACTCCACATATATGTGAATAGAATTTGTTTTCGTACTGGAAATCGGTGGATTTTAAGCACAGATGTACCGCCTCAATCAATTTATTTTCGGGTAATTTTGTATGTTCTTTTATCTCTGCCCATTTATTGTTGTTCCAAACTGAATGAAATTGACAAAGACATTAATAATGTTAAAATATCGTTACAACAAAAAACATGCATAAAAGTCATCACATCAAAATAAAATAAAAGTCTCATCTCGAAATAGTTTCTTGCTCCCATTGTCTTTTATGTTGCCTTGAAAATTTCCCCCATTTGCCCATTTTTCTCTAAAAATTAAACGCACGTGGCCACACAGATCACAGAGTATGTTGGAAACTACACCAGAATTTAATGCAAATTACATATAGTTCATCGTTTATATAGTAAAATCACCAGTGATTTTGTGATACCCTATTGGTTGATTTTCTCAACGGTTAATAGCGGTTTCCTTTAACGACGTCAGGACGCCGATTTTTCACACGATTTCAGACGTTAACTTCAAGAAGTGTTTCTTTGTCGGCAGTTTAATCATATATGGTAACACGGCCCAAAAGTTGATAACGCCGATCACCAGAACACAGAAAAGTAATTTTATATTCACTTGCAGGAGCGTAAATGATTCTTTTCAGTGCTTGTAAATATATATATATAGGTATATGTTTACCTGTGGAATATGACAAACATATTTTATAAAAGTATACATACTGCATATAAATATATTTGCATAAATCGAATATAATCATACAGATTTAAAGTCGTAAAATTAATGCGTAAATTGTGAAGTTCGCCCAAAAGTCGCTCAGCGACTTTCTCAAAATATTCGTCACAGTCTACTAAAATTAGCCCAATTTGCTATTAATCGCTGAACCTGGTCACACTGATGCTCATTGTCGTTGCATCGTCAGACCCATTGTTGGACCAAAGTCAAACCGATGAACGTTTTCTCACAAACAGACCATTAAAAAAACGACACTAATTTAATTCCTTTAAAAGGCAACCACTCAGACTGACTCATTTCCACACCCCGTCCAAGACAGGTCGAACGATCATCGAAGACCACAGATTAATCAGGAGAYAAATCTGAGCCATTTCTCACGCTCAGGAAATGAGACTGTGTCTCATCCTCATGGTTGCGAAAACTCATCTTGTGAGAAGAGAGTATGTGAAGATATACTACAGAAATGATCCTGTGAAGTATGATCTTAGTTCCAAACTTCTAAAATGCGGAGATTATAGCCAGATGGTAAATGCTCGCGAGAATGTACTAGGCTGTGCCGCCATCTAAAGGTGCCGTGGAAAGCATAATAGAAGGTATATCTCAACCTTGCGCACTGATCTCCTTGAGATAGCAGAAAATATTTATATGCTTCTAACATAGAGTAAGTAAAAGAAGCGAGGGTTCAGTCATAGAGAAAGTAAAATAAGGGAAGGTTAGATCCGTTCTGTCCTTTTTCAACTTGCGGAGCGACGCGGCTGGATGTTACTTGAACTGCTATGTTGACTTTTCTAATAGAAATTAACCTAAGAATTAATTTTAACCACGTTTCCGATTGATCGGTCGAGTTAAAATATTTTCGTATTTCTAATACTTGTACGGTATTACCTACAAATAATATCTGCTGTCGAGATGTGAGTATTGCATAGTGACATAGTAGAATTTTTTGTGTGAATATTACAATTTTTTGTTGATTTCTTTCTTGTGTGTCTATAATTTATGTCTGCATAAAGATGAGTCCTCCTGATCGTATTCTTTCATATAAATGTATAGTATCAAACTGCAAAAATGCCTATTTTAAAAGGGATAATTTTGAAAACTATGTAAATAAGCGGTTATTCAAATTCCTTGATCCAAATAAAGATTTTAATGGTCGCAGAAAATGGTTTGAAATAATGATATTAAATTATACTGAGATGCAACGTCACTTATGTGAGGATAATTTGAGGATAAACATTTTACTGATTCATATAAATTACATCAATGGTAATCAGCAGATAAAAAAAACAGTTAGTCACAAAACAAAATTTGAGAAATGCATATGAACTAATCTTTTGAGACAAAATTTGACCAATTTGAGATAAAAATCGACCCTGTGGTTTCTTTCTTTTTCAATAGCTCATTTACAAATTATGGAAAAAAGAAAGGAACTTGTGTGAATTGTGTTAGTTGCTGTCGAATGTGCCCTTTGAAGCAGAAATAAATTCCAAATTCACGTCAAAGCTTTCGAAAAAGATCCAAAAAATGAAGCCTATTGACAGAAATTGTATTTTAATGTTTGATGAAATGTGATTATCAGAACAGTTAACTTTCGATAAGTCCAGAGACATGATTATTGGATATGTGGATCTTGGCCACCTACGTCGGGTTAACAAATCTGCAAATTATGCCTTAATTTTTATGGTTCATGAGCTTCATAAAAATTGGAAACAGCCGGTAACGTTTTTTTTTACTAGAGATACTGTTGAATCCCAGGCTTTACAATGCCTTATTAAAGACATCATAATTGCTTTGGAAGCTGCTGGCCTTGTCGTTCTAGCGACGGTTTGTGATCAAGAAGCTACCAATCGCAAATCGATTTCAAATTTATGCCTCGAAACCCAAAACGAAAATTACGAAGCAAATCCATATTTTAAAATCAATAACCACAACATTTTCACTCTTTTTGATACCTCCGCATTTACTGAAATCAACAAGAAATGCCCTTTTAAAATATTGTAT